CCGAACGACTCACACCACGAGGAGCCCGAACGAGTCACACCAGGAGGAGGGGCCCGAACGACTCACACCAGGATGAGGGGCCCGAACAACTCACACCACGAGAAGCCCGAACGACTCACACCAGGACGAAGAGCCCGAACGACTCACACCACGAAGAGCCCGAACGACTCACACCAGGAAGAAGGGCCCGAACGACTCACACCAGGACGAGAAACCCCAAACGACTCAAATCACGAGGAGCGCTTTCTCTCCCTCCTCCTCCGCCTCGTCCTTCTCCCGCTCCCCCCACAAGGAGGATGTACAAGGAGGCGGGAGGAAGGAGGAACAGGGGAGATATGCGGGGGCAAGCGGACACACGCCTGAAAAACACGACTGTCGGCATGCTTCGCAAGAGTTGCTGTTGTGAGATGGGCTGGTGGGGATACGCGAATCGTAAAGAATTATCCCGGCAAAGCAACCTAACAGCGATGTGTAGAAGCATATCTGAAAGCATTCCCCTTAAGATTCAGATGAAAATCCAGTTGTAGAATTCTGCTGTTCTCGCAGTCGTAGTCGCATTCGCGATGACAGTCGCAGCGGCAACGGCAGTCGCAGTCACAGCCTCAGCCTCAGCCTGCCTCAGCCTCAGCCTCAGCCTGCCTCAGCCTCAGCCTGCCTCAGCCTCAGCCTCAGCCTGCTTCAGCCTCAGCCTCAGTCTGCCTTCAGCCTCGGCCTCAGCCTCAGCCTGCCTCAGCCTCAGCCTGCATCAGCCTCAGCCTCAGCCTCAGCCTGCCTCAGCATCAGCCTGCCTCAGCCTCAGCCTCAGCCTGCCTCAGCCTCAGCCTCAGCTGCTTCAGCCTCAGCCTCAGTCTGCCTTCAGCCTCGGCCTCAGCCTCAGCCTGCCTCAGCCTCAGCCTGCCTCGACCGCAGCATCAGCCTGCCTCAGCATTCAAAATGTGGCCCAGGAAAGGGAGTTCTGGGAAGTCGAAGAGCACGAAGTGGCCTACAGTTGGCTCCGGGCATTCAAAATGTGGCCCGGGAATGGAGTTCTGGGAACTCGAAGAGCACGAAGTGGCCTAGAGTTGGCTCCGGGCATTCAAAATGCGGCCCGGGAATGGAGTTCTGGGAACTCGAAGAGCACGAAGTGGCCTACAGTTGGCTCCGGGCATTCAAAATGTGGCCCGGGAATGGAGTTCTGGGACTCGAAGACCACGAAGTGGCCTACAGTTGGCTCCGGGCATTCAAAATGTGGCCCGGGAATGGAGTTCTGGGAAGTCGAAGAGCACGAAGTGGCCTACAGTTGGCTCCGGGCATTCAGAATGTGGCCCGGGAATGGAGTTCTGGGAGGTCGAAGAGCACGAAGTGTGTGACTGTTGGGTTAAAACGACTTCTGCGTCACCCTGTCCGGCACCCGCCCAGACCCCCCTGTGGAGCCATCTGCTGCTCTCTTTTTAGCCCATTAGAAACCTATCAGTCTTCGCTGTTAGGTAAAAACCAATGTGTTTTTAAACACGTTCGTTGAACCAGACAGCCAGATAGCCCGGCGTGTATACCTGTTGTGTGCGATTTTTCCAAATGTAGCCTGGGAATGGCGTTCTGGGAGGTCTCGGAGCACGAAGTGTGTGACTCTTGCATCCTGTTATTCCGAATGTGGCCTGGGAATGGGGTTCTGGGATGCCAAAGAGCTCGAAATGTGTGACTGTTGCATCCCGTTAATCAGAATGTGGCCCGGGAATGGAGTTCTGGGGTGTCAAGTACGAGGAATTGTATGACTGTTGCGTCCGGCTATTCCGAATGTGGCCCGGGAATGGCGTTCTGGGAGGTCAAGGAGCACCAAGTGTGTGACTGTTGCATCCGGTTATTCAGAATGTGGCCTGGGAATGGGGTTCTGAGAGGTCGACGAGCACGAAGTGTGTGACTGTTGGTGAAAAACGAGCCCGGCACAGGCCCGGCACCCTGCCGGCCGGCAACTCCCAACGCCTGCCCGGACCCCCCTGTGGAGTGATCTGTGAGCTCTTTTGAGTCAACTAGAAACCTATCAGTCTACGCTGTTAGGTAATTTTCTGGGTTTATCTCTTCCCTCGCACTTCCCATATTTTCCCAGATTTGCCGGGGAGTCGACGATTCATTGTGTCTGTGTGTTTTTTCCCCTCCTGACAGGTATGGCGCAAGCGCACCCAGCCTGCCTCTTCCCCGTTCTCTCCCTTCCCCTTCTCTCCCCGTTCCGCCGACTGTGGCTCGCCCTTCGCCGGGGTTGCACAGACATGGATTGGCGATCCATGGATCTGGCGCGCAGTCGCAAAATCCTCCTCCTCCTCCTCCTCCACCTCTTCCTTCTCCTCCTCCTCCACCTCTTCCTCCTCCTCCTCCTCCTCCTCCTCCTTTTGGGGGCGCGCAGACATGGATTAGCGACTCATGGATTTGGCCCGCGGTCGCGAAATCCATGGATCGGGGAGGTGCCCTCCACAAAATGCGGCCCGCGCCGCCTCGCTCGGCGGCGGGAATCCGCGCTTTCCCATGGAAACGGGACCCGTCGCTAATCCACGCAAGGGGGACTGGCACCACAGGGGTGAGGGGCAACGATAGGGGGGGATAGGCACAGGGGGAACATCGACCTGGAATCGGCGAAACATAGCCGATAGATATGCGATAGGCCCCCGATCGACCTGGATAGATTGGCGATAGGCCCCCGATAGGGACTGGCACAGGGGGGCATCGACCTGGAAGCGTCGATGTGTCGCTGAAAGGACTCAGGCTCCGACTCGGACCTGCGAAGTGCACGCCGGACTCGGGCTCGGACCTGCGAGGTGTCGCCGAAAGAGTGGCTCTGGGCAGAGGTGACCCTTCGGTGCGCGGCGCTTAACGGTGAGGGGCAACGACAGCAGGGAGGACTGGCACAGGGCATGAGGGGCAACGGTAGGGGGGGGGATAGGCATTAGGGGGGAGCATCGGAATCCGCACGTTCCCGGGCAGGCTGGGGCTATCGGGCCCCTATCGGCGATCAATGGGCGATTGAGGGTCGACGCGTCCCCCCCCCCTATGCCTATCCCCCCCTGTCGTTGCCACTGGGGGGGGGGCAGCGACCTGGACTCGTCGACGCGTCGCCGAGAGCGCGGCCCTGGGCCAAGGCGACCTCTGGCGCGCAGCGCAACGGGGGGCGCGTCGTGGCCAAACCCGGGCGAGCAGGCCGCCGCGGCCGCTTCGCGCTCCGCGATCGGGGGACCCCGCCCGACATGGGTACCGAAAACATGGGTACGATGCCCAACAGCAAATGTTGTCCCAAACCAACAGCGGCCGCTGTTGGGCTGGCGGCCTTCTGTCTCAAATGTGCACGGGCCGCGGCGGCGCGGACAGCGAGTCCTGTTCAAAATGGGCACGAATTGCTGCTGGGCATCGTACCCCTTCTTTCCGTGCCCATCTCGGGCGTCCACCGCCGACCACTGGCAGTGGTCGGCGGTGGACAGCCCTCCCTTTTCGTAAACCTCCCTTCAGCGAATGACGGCCGCGACGGCCTCTCGCGAGCCGAAGACGGCGGATTCGCGAATCGACGTGTCTGGGCAGGAGGTCTGTCCACCCCCGACCATGGGGCCCGCATCAGGAGTCACTCCGGCGAAAGGTCACTCTTACGTCCAGTCGACAAGGAGGGAGGAGGATCGGACTCACTCGGCAGGGTTCAGCGTCGAGCTCCGCAGAGCGGTCCGGGGTCGCGCCATTGTTGGAGGAGCCGCAAGTGCGGAACGTAAAGTCAGGAGCGGCAGTACTTCTAGGCCTCCTAGATGGGGTCGGAGTAGATGGTGTCGGAGGATCGCAACGCATCGCCGATGCATCGCCGATGCGGCTCGATGTGCAGCCCGATTTGCTTCACGTCGACGTCGCCGACGCACCGCCGACGTCGACGAAACTTTGCCCACTCGACCTCGTCCTCTCCCGTCGCTCGCAGGAAAAACGCTGCGCGCTCCCCGAGCTGCCACACGCAAGTGAGCGACCCTGGGCAAGAGGGACCTCTGGTGCGCGGCCTCAGGGGGCCGCTGGGACGCCGAATATGAGCGTGCAGGCCAGCGCCGGGGGACCCCCGTGGGCCCGCACCAGAGGTACAGTCGGCCGTGATTGGACAGGACACGCGAGAGGGCACGAGACCCTTCCGAGGGCCACATCGCCGCAGGAGTGTAAGAAGGCACGTGTCGCGAGGCACGGGACACAAGGGTGACTACCTACCAGACCACCCCAACCCAACCCGAAGACCCGAATTTGACCCGAATTTCGGGTTGGGGGGGGTACGGATACCATGTGTTTTTTCAACGTTCCCCGACCCCCCCCCTCTGGAAATCGAGGATAAATTTGGGCCTTCGGGTTGGGTTGGGGTGGTTTGGTGGGTGGTGAAAGGGTACCCTTGAGCTGGCAGGGTCGACCTACCAATCCGGGCCGACGGTAGGGGAACGAAAAACGACGCCAACATAAAAACTCGGAGGTCCGCGCGGACTTCCCGGACCGGCGCTGGGCCTCCCCTCCCTGGCGCGCGGAGCGCGCCAGCGGCGCCGGAGGCGCCGCCAGGGGGCCCGAGCGCGGAGCCGAGAAATCCGCGCGGACCTCCGAGCTGTTATGTTTCCTTCTTCGTTCCCCTGAAAGATCACTCTGACTCACCGAGCGCGCTGCACTGCTCGCAGAGTGCCTACGCGCAAACGTCTGGAAGAAAAAAAAAAAAAAAAACACGTCTGGCTCGATGCAGTGGAGCGTGAATCCCCCGGCTGCGGACTCGGCCCCCTTGCGAGCAGCTCTACTTTGCGAGCAGTGGAACGCGCTTGTCGACTTGCGCGTGTGAAGGGGCCCTAGGACACACAAATAAATAAACACAAATCAAAGGATTCCCCATATTCTCCCATATTTTCTGGGTTTCTGTCTTCCCCCCCCCTTCCCATATTTCCCCATATTTTCTGGGGAATCGACGAGTCATTGTGTCTGTGTGTGTTTTCCCCACCTGCGCGTGGCCGACCCGAGGCCCCCCCCCCCCAAGCTGCAGGGGGGGCCGGGCGGCGCGCGCGGCTCCGCCGTGGCCGCCGCTGGCCGCCCTCCAGCAGTGGGCGAGCTCCTGCTTGTAGCCGAGCCACCTCCGCGCGGCCGCCCCCTCGCGGAGGAGCGACGACGACGACGACGACGACGACGACGACGACGACGACGACGACGACGAGGACGACGACGGCGACGACGACGTCCACGAGGAGGAACCGACGAGGACGACGAGGACGACGACGTCCACGAGGAGGAACCGGCCTCGGATCTCCGCCGCGTCGACTACACGCGAGTCAGGAGGAGGAGAGCGAGGGGCAGGAGAGCCCAGAATCGGATCGACAAGTCGGGTCGGCGATCGAAATGAGTCGGATCGGCGGGAATCGGCAGCCAGGTGGGGAGAAGTCGAATCGGCAGAAGTCGGCAGGCGAGTAGGCCTCCATGGAGGAATCGGAATCCGAGGTCGAATCGAATCGGAATCGGCGGCCATCGAAACATGATCGAATCCAGACCGGACGCCTCTCGGGCGCGCCGAGAAGAAAAAGACAGCCGAGGCCATTCCACGGGAAACCTGCCACAAGAGACCCAGCCCCGAGGCCCCAGGACGCCCACCGAGTCTGGGCGCGGGAGCGCCACGCCTGCCACGGGAGAGCCACCAAAACCCAGGAAGCCCAGGGCACCCTGGAGGCAAGCAGGGCGCTTCTGGGCATGGGCCTCCACTGCATCCCCGCACACCGCGTGTTTGCTTTTTCTTCTGTTTTTTGTTCTTGTGTTTGCTCCTGCGCTCTGCAACAGTTCCTGTGACAGCTGGAGCTCTCGCCGATCGAACTCCCTGTGAGCCCCCAGCGCTGCCTGGGAAAGCGCACGCCAGAACACGAGCGACCGGCGATGATGTGTAAGAATTCGGGCCCCCCGCGTCCTGGGGCGCGGGGTTTAGGAGTAGGGGCGGCGCGGGGGGAGGGGGCGCTGGCGGGCTCCCCGCGTCCTGGGGTGCGGGGTGCGGGAGCAGGGGGCGCCGGCGGAGGCGGGCGCGCGAGGCGCCGGCGGAAGCGGGCGCGCGAGGCGCGCGCGCGCGCGACGCTGCCGCAGGAGGGCGGCGGCCCGGGGCGCGGGGCCCCGTGGAGGGCCTCGTGCAGAGAGAGGGCCCCCGGAGGGCCGGGGGGGCCGTGGCGGGGCGGGGCGGGGCGGCCCGCCCCGCGCTCTCGCCCAGCATGCAGGCGGGAGGGGGGAGGCGAGGGGCGCTCCAAAGGCTACAATGGCGGCCCGCCCTCTCGCCCAGCATCCCGGCGGGAGGGGGGAGGGGCGCGCTCCGAGGCTACCATGGAGGCCCGACCACCAGAAGCCCTCCGCCAGGCGGCCCGCCCCGCGCGTTGGCGGCGCGCGCAGAGGGGGGTTGGGGGGAGGGGGGAGGGCTTCTTAGAAGCAGGCTGCTTCTTAGAAGGCGCCGGCCTTACGTCTATAGATAAGGCCCGCGCCTTCCAAGAAGCAGGGGTGCTTCTAAGAAGCCCTCCCCCCTCCCCCCAACCCCCTCTGCGCGTGGCTGAGCTCTCTCGCCCATCATCCAGGTGGGAGAGGAGGAGGGGCGCTCCGGGGCTACAGTGGAGGCCCGACCACCAGAAGCCCTCCACAAGAAACCCGGCCGCGAGCGTCCCTTCATGCCTTGGCGTGGCAACGTCCCGCTTTCCACGGCAGAACCATCGAAACCCAAGAAACCCGGGGCACCCTGGAGGCAAGCAGGGTGTTTCTTGGCATGGGTTCCCGCTGCAGTGCGCCTGAGCCCATCAGACAGAAATGCAGCCCAGCCAGACCCACCCTTTCCCTCAGTGGAGGGGAAGAGAACAGTGACCATGACCAGAACTGAACACAGAAAGTCGTGCCGATCTTGGTCACCGCCCATTCTGGACAGCGAATCGGCGACGGCCGGCATGGACCAGGACCAAGGTCGGCGTCGACATGAACCCGGGACATCATGGTCATGGTCAATCACACCAGCCCTTTGTGCTAAGGTGGTCTAGCGATATCTTCCCTTCGGGGAGGGGTGCACTCCCCCTCCCATCCATGAAGATATTTGAACGGTCCGCGGTGTGTCAGTGAGTTCGCTTTCGCCCAAGGTGGCTCCAAGAAAGCATCCGATGCTCCAAGATGCCTCCAAGATGGCCGACGGTGGTTCAACATAGCTTCCGACGTACCTCCAAGAGACCCGACGAGGGCCACAAGACGATCCCAAGAGCTCCCAGAGCCCCCCTCAGGACCCCTCAAAGAGGCCGGACCCTACAAACACCTAGGAAAATCAATGAGGTGTGCCTTCTCACCTCGCCGTTTCCGATGCGCTTTTGAGGCCTCTCTAGATGGTGAGCATTTTCTTATTCGGCGTTTCGACATTGGGCGGAAAGGGGGGGAGGGGGGGTCTGGCTCCAGACCTCTGCTTAGTGCGACTGTTTGCAAGAGTGCTGCCTCTGGGGGAGATTCCACCCGCTCGAAACAGGCGCCAAAAACCAGCCAGACTCTACTCCATGGGGGGGAGGGGGGGGGAGGAGGCCCGCGCCGACCGATCGGCAAAACAATGAATAAACAAAATATCACATGACGACCCCAAGATGGGCCAAGAGAGGCCCAAGAGGCGCCCAGGAGGCCCCCCAGACGGCCCTCAGAGCGCCCACCAGCGGCCCAAGATCGCCCCAAGAGGGCGATGTTGATGGCCCCAGGGGGGGGATTAACATCAGGGACCCCCCCGCATTTGATCGATAGCCTCTTGATGCCATCCATGGGCGGCGCCTCGATGCATCCCTCCCCCGTGGACTCACTCCGGAGTTCGCTCGCGGGGCCCAGGGCGACGGGCTGGGGTGCGCAGTGTGTGGACGGAGAGCGAGGCGCACAGTTGGGCGCGCAGCGCCGCCGGCCGGCCCGCGGAGTCGCTCCGGAGCTGATTTTCGCGGGGCCTCGACGGGGCCCCGGGCAGCCGAATCCCGAACACTGACCACCAAAGCCCGAAGCCCGAAAGCCAAGCCAGACGGCCGAAAACCGAGCCCAGAGGCCCTGACGGCGAAGGCGCCGAGGGCGCCCCGACGGCTTCCCGTCGGCACGAGTCTGGAGAAACGGAAGGCGCTTCGGCTCTGCTCGGGGAGCCTCTCGCGCGGAAGCGTCGTCTCCCGTTTGTTTTGTTTTCGTTAGCTCCTGCTCCTATTCCTCCTCCTACGCGTTCTTTTCTTCATTGGCCAAGTCGCGCACACGAGGACACACCCCTGTGACCCAAAAGGCTGCGGATAAGACAAGGGGGCAGAGGGGGAAGTGAGACGGATGCAAGCAAGTGCGGAGGGAGGGTGCAGAGAGAGACTAACTACGCTTCACATTTGTGAATCCGCGTTTTTGCCCCAGGCTCGGTTGCATCCGGGGCGCCCTGGGGTCCGAAACAGGCCTCCTGGGGCCAGATGACGAAACGGGCCTCCAGGGACCAGAGGGCGTCGTCGTCGCCCTCCTCCTCTGGTGGCGCCGTCAACCCTCATGCGGTCCGTGTCGTGGTCGTGCTGCCAATCGTCAGTCGTCGCTGATCCTTCGTCGCCGAGCTCTCTCTCTCTCACGCGCGCGCCGCCGCCCAAGGAGAATGGGAGGATAGGCAGGTGGAGGAGGAGGGGGAGTGGGAGGAGGAGGAGGAGGAGGAGGAGGAGGAGGAGGAGGAGGAGAACAACTTGGAGGAGGAGAAAGAAGAAGACGAGGGGGAGAGGGGAAGGAGAGGGAGGAGGAGGTGGATGAGAAGGAGGTGGAGGATCGGGAGGACCGAGTAGGACGCTAGGGACGTGGGAGACGAGCGATGACGATGGCGCTGATGACGAAAACGCTGAGGCTACTGCTGCGGAGAGAGACGACGCTCGTTTTCGTCATTTGTCGTCGCGGACGGCTTCGTCATCGTCGACGTGGTCGTCGTCGTCGTCCTCCTCCTCGTCGAGGTCATCGTAGTCGTCGTCGTCGTGCTCCGTCGTCATTCGTTGTCGTCGTCGTTGACAGTCGCCAGTGGTCAGTGGTCAGTCGTCGTTGAGCACGGCATTCGCCGTCGTCGCCGTCGTTGTCAGTCGTCAGTCCTCGTCGTCGTGCTCTTTGGCGCGCTTGCCGCCACGCAGTGGGGGCGAGAGGATCAAGAGGAGGAAGAGGAGGTGGAGGAAGGAGGTGGAGGAGGAGGAACACAAGTGGGAGAAGGGGAAGGTGATTGACGTGGTCGATGGGGTTTTGGTGCGAGGGGACGATGGTGATAATGTTGATGATGATGATGATGATGATGATGATGATGATGATGATGATGATGATGATGATGATGATGATGATGATGATGATGATGATGACGGTGATGATGATGATAAATGGTGGTGATGATGATGGCGATGATGATTATTGTGATGCTGATGATGATAGTGATGATGGTGCTGATGATGATGGTGATGATGATGCTGATGATGATGCTGATGATGATGGTGATGGTGATGGTGATAGTGATGGTGATGGTGATGGTGACGGTGATGAGTATGACGACAGTGATGATAATGACGATGACAATATAAAGAGGATGATGGCGATCGTGGAGATGATGATGACGATGACGGCGATGATGGTGACGATGATGACGATTGCGGTGATGATGATGTGTTACTGATGACGATGCTGACGACGACAACGATGACGATGATAAGGTTGCTGTCGGTGTACGTTGATGTTGACGAAGTTTGAGGATGACGACGGTGACGGTGGCGATAACGATGAGGATGAGGATGACAAGGATAAGGAGGAAGATGATGATTCGGGGTACCATCAGGAGGAGGGGAACGTGAGGGGAAGAGGGAGGGATGACCTGGAGGATACGGAGAAGGAGGGGGAGGAGGAGGGGGAGGAGGACGAGGAGGAGGGCCACGAGGGGAAGAGGATGAGTGTGATTGCGGTGGTCGTCGTGCTCCTTTTCAGGCGCCAGTGGTCAGTGCTCAGTCGTGGCTGTGCTTCGTCACTCCCTGTCGTCGCTGTCAGTTGTCAGTCCTCGTCGTCGTGCTTCCCCGCGCGCACCGCCGCCCAGTGGGAGCGAGAGGATCTGGAAGAGGAGGTGGAGGAGGAGGAGGTGAAGGAGGTGGAGGAGGAGGAACACGAGGGGGAGAGGGGGAGAGTGATTGATGTGGTCGAGGGTGTGTGGTGCAAGGGGATGATGATGATGATGCTGATGATGATGATGACGATGATGAGGATAATGACGATGATGATGATGATGACGACGACGACGACGACGACGACGATGACGATGACGATGACGATGACGATGAGGATGATGGCGATGATGACGGTGATGATGATGATCATCGTGATGATTCTGATGATGATCATCATCATTATGATAATCCTCCTCCTCCTTCTCCTCCTCCTGGCGCACACACAAAGTCCCCAAGCCCGCACATGACGCGGAGGGACGGCGCGCGCGTGAAACTGCTTCTCTTCCTCCTCCTTCCCCCCCCTCCCTCACTCTCCAACCTCCCGAAAAACAGGGGCGGCTCGCAGGGCGAGCGCACCGCTTGTACTGCCGGTAGTTCAGAATGCCGATGCCGAGGAGCAGCGACGACGCCAGCACTCGCGTCGCGCGCACGGGAGGGGGCATCCCAGCGGGTTCCCCATCCCACCCTGCCTCCTATCCTCATCTCCATCTTCTTCATCTTCCTCCTCCTCCTCCTCCTCGTCCTCGTCCACGCCCTCCTACTCATCCGGCTCATCCTCCTCCTCCTCCGCCTCCTCCTCCTCCTCCTCCTCCGCCTTCTCCTCCCCTGCCTCCTCCTCTTACTCCTCATGCTTTTCCTCCTCCTCCTTTTCCTGCACCTCCTCCTGAATGTGGCCGTGGGGCCAAAGTGGATCTCAGATATCTGAAGAAGCAGTGCCCAGGCAGAACTGCCAAAGGGCAGGAGAATCTGTCCAGGATTGCCTAAGGGCTCCATCCCAGACGGGAAGAGTCCCCAAGGCAATCCGAGAAGCTGCGTTCCTGGCCCCAGAATCGAAGGCCGTCCAGCAAGACGCCGCCTGCCGTGAGCTCAAAGCTGGTGGGGGTAAGCGTCCCGCGGGGTCAAATGGGGCGGCGGTGGCCGAAGGGCCAGGAGCAGCGAGAGCCATACCGAGCCAAGCCGCGTCTCTCGGTCCTGAGGATGGAAGAGGCGGCAGCCTGGTTATTTCTGGAAGAGCGGAATAATTAAGGGGCCAGGCGGGAGGCGGCACTTCGCGCCCGGCGTTGCCAGGAGACCCGAGCCCCGGGTGGGGGAATCTCGACCCAGGCCCAGTTTTGCCGCCTCTCGCGGCGTCGAGCTCCAAGAGTGCATGAGTGTGTCATGAGGGCCCCTGCTGTGCCTGGTGTTGGCTTTCGGCTCTCACCAGGGGCAACATGGTGGTCTCTCGTGCCGCCAGAGGCGCTTCTGTATAATCAGTATCTAGAAACCTCGACCTCCTCCTCCTCCTCCTCGTCCTCCTCCTCTTCTTCTTATTAATGTGTATTATTTTTATTCTTCTTTTGATTATTATGTTCTTTATTATTATTCTTATTATAATTATTAGTATTATTATTAGTATTATTATTAGTATTATAAGTATTATTATTATTCATATAACTAGTATTCGTATTCTTAGTATGCTTAGTATTATTAATACTATTATTATGAATCTTATTATCATTATTATTATCATTACTACTATTATTCTTATTAATAGTATTATTATTAGTACTACTATTACTAGTATTATTATTTTATTATTATTATTATTAGTAGTAGTAGTAGTAGTATTAGTACTATTTGTTATTATTATTAGTATTATTATTATTATTATTAGTATTATTACTATTAGTAACATTATTATGATTATCAGTATCATTAGTATTATTAGTAGTAATACCATTATTTTTTATTAGTAGTATTAATAGTATGGTTATTAGTCTTATCCCTCTTCTTATTATTATTCAAATTACTCGTATCATTAGTCATCTTATTCGTCTTCTTCTTCATATTAGCATATATATTATTATTATTCTTCTTCGTATTATTATCACTATTATTCTTGTTGTTACTAGTATTACTATTACTATTATTATTATTCTTATTATTATTATGACTATTATTATTATTCGTATTCGTATTATTATTATGCTTATCCGTCTTTTTCTTATTATTATTATTCTTATGTTTCTTATTCTTCTTATTATTATTATGCGTATTCTTATTGTTACGCTTCTTCTTATTATTAGAATTATTGTTATTATTATTATTCTTATCAATATTATTCTTAGTATCATTACTGTTATTACTATTATTATGGGTAATGTTCTTCTTCTTATTATTACTTTTATTATTAGTATTAGTATTGTTATTATTATTATTATTATTATTCGTTTTCGTCTTCGTTTTCGTCTTCTTCTTTTTAATAATATTCCTCCTCCTCCTCCTCCTCCTCCTCCTCCTCTTCCTCCGCCGCCTCCGCCTCCGCCTCCTCCGCCTCCGCCTCCACCTCCGCCTCCTCCTCCTCCTCCTCCTCCTCCTCCTCCTCCTCCTCCTCCTCCTCCTCCTCCTCCCTCTCTCCTCCTCTCCTCCTCCTCCTCCTCCTCCTCCTCCTCCTCCTCCTCCTCCTCCTCCTCCTCCTCCTCCTCCTCTCCTCCTCCTCCTCCTCCTCCTCCTCCTCCTCCCTCCTCCTCCTCCTCCTCCTCCTCCTCCTCCTCCTCCTCCTCCTCCTCCTCCTCCTCCTCCTCTCCTCCTCCTCCTCCTCCTCCTCCTCCTCCTCCTCCTCCTCCTCCTCCTCCTCCTCCTCCTCCTCCTCCTCCTCCTCCTCCTCCTCCTCCTCCTCCTCCTCCTCCTCCTCCTCCTCCTCCCCTCCTCCTCCTCCTCCTCCTCCTCCTCCTCCTCCTCCTCCTCCTCCTCCTCCTCCTCCTCCTCCTCCTCCTCCTCCTCCTCCTCCTCCTCCTCCTCCTCCTCCTCCTCCTCCTCCTCCTCCTCCTCCTCCTCCTCCTCCTCCTCCTCCTCTTTTTAATACTATTAGTTGTTGTGGTTCTTGTTAGTAATATTATGGATAAAATTGGAATTCTAGATACTATTAATATTCGTCCCGCTCGTGTGAATAATCAATGCTATCATTAGCATTACGCTTCCTAGTATTACTCCGATTCTTTTTGGCAAACAAAACAGAAACAAATCGTCATTTTCGTATTATTCGTAATCCGCCGATCTGGCGTGTGAGCTTCAAAGACCCTCAGAACAGCGTGATCCTGATTTACTGAGTTTCAGCTCTAATGGGGCGTGGGTGTTGGGGTGGCTTTGCCGGGGTAAGGGGAGGGGGGGGTTTAATTCCCGGGGCGGAATCGGAGCTCCAGCTCACTCCGGGGCGGCCCCTTCGCCCAGGAAGGCCCCGACATGGGTCAAGAGGGGGCCCAGAGTCGCCGAACGATCGCTACAAGACGCCCAAAATGTCCCCAGGACGGCCCCAGAAGCCTCCAAGACGCCCTCAGGAGCCCTGAAAAAGGCCTCCAAAAACAAACCCAAAGAAGCAACATGTGTCCCATTCCCTGAGGAGAACGAACAATTTTAGCACATTCGCCTCTTGGGCTTTCAGAGCGTCACAAACGCCCAAGAGCGCCCCAAAACGGCCCAAGAAACCGCCAAGAGGGCGCCACGACGGTCCAAGAAGGGCCTCAGATGGCCCAGGAGGCCCCCGGAAAGGCCCAAGAGGGCCCAGGGACGGGCCCAAGAGGCGCGAGAGAGGGCGCCCGGACGGCGGAAGAAGTGCCGAAGACGGCCCAAGAAGCCCTCAGCAGGCCCCCATGAACCCCCCAAGAGGCCTGAAGAGGCCCCCAGACGCTTCCAACTGGCCCCGAAGAGACCCCCATGAGGCCCCCTACAGGCCCCCAGGAGTCTCGAAGAATGCATCCAAGACGCCTTCTAGAGGTCTCCAAGCTGCCTCCCACACTCCCCCCGAGAAGTCCAAAACCGGCCCCAATGCTTCCACGGCGCCTACGTCTGAACACAAGCGCTGCAATACGAAAGGTTCTTCCACGCTTTCACATCTCCCACCGTCTTCGGCGCCCTTCAAATGTATGATCTCACACGGGCCCGCAGAGGACCGCGCGAACACAGAGGTCGCAAAAACACCCTGGCTCCCAGCAGAGACTGGCGACGCACAAGGCTCCACAAAGAACTGTGACGCAGACAGATCTAGCACAAAGCTTTTCAGAGAGTGCACCAAATCGGCGAGGTGTCAACCCAAAGAGGGCCAACACCTGGCCCAAAACAGGCTTTCCAACAACCGCCGAACATCCCCAACAACCGCCAAAAATCCCCTCATCCTCGTCACGTTCCTCCTTCCCCCCCTCCCCCTCTTCCACTTCCCGCTTCCTCCTGCTCCTCCTCATCCTCAGCATCCTGCTACTCATGTCCCTCCCACCCCCACCCCCCTCCACCTCATCATGATCCTCCTCCTCCTCATCATCATCCTACACCGTCGCCTCCATGCCCAATCCTCATCATCATCCTCACCGCTCGCCGTCGTCGCCGGTCATGACCGCCATCGCGCGCTTCCGGCAGAAACGGAAGCGTCCCGGATTGGCGGCACTGGCCGGAGGCCACTACAATATTATTACTAGTATAGTGTTAGTAGTGGTATCAGTATTAGTATTTGTACCACTACTCATGATAGTAGTAGTGTGCTTGGCAGTGGTACTTTCATTAACCGCATACTTAATAATGTTATTGATGGTAGTCTTCCTGATCGTAGTATTCATAATATAAGCATGTGTTAGGTTCTCAATCTTGCATATTGAAAAGCCTTATTCGTCATATTCGTGCGATTCGTATTGATATTACGAGCATTCGTGTTATGAGTCGTATCAGTATTAGTATTCGCACCACTACTCACAATAGTCGTAGTGTGCTTCGTAGTGGTATTGCGATTAATAGTATGATTAACATTGGCATTGGTGGTATTATTCATGTTAGTCGTATTCATATTCATATACGTGTGTCCTAATATTTCCAGTGCTCGGTGTCGTTTTCTTCGTCTTGCTCCTCGTGGCAATATAACCATGATTCTTATGATTATCAAAATTACCCTTATCAATAGTAGTAGTAATAGTCGGAATAACCATATAAGTTGTAGCATCCGTAGCCGTAGCATTGCAATATGTAATATTACCAGTACTAGTAGTATTGAGCGTCTTCGTCTGTGTCTTAATAGTATTATTCCTGGTCTCAGTTGTCTTAGCATTCGAAGTACTAGTAGTAAGATGGTTAGTGTTCGTGTTATCAGTCACCTTCTTCGCATTAGAAGACATACTAGTATCAGTCCTCGCGGTAGCACTCGCACGCGTATCATTGAGTATGATGATGAATCCTAATATTTATCTGATAATAACTGTCGTATCATTGTTATTCGTACGGTCCGTTGTATTCGTATGATGTTTCGTGTTCGTCCTATTAGTCGTCTTCATCTTCTATTCTTCTGCGCAGTATTATTCGTATTATTATGATATTATTCTTCCTCTTCCTTCCCTCCTCCTCCTCATCATCCTCCTCCTCCGCCTTCTCCTCATCCTCCTCCGCCTCCTCCTGCTCCTTCTACCTCCACCTTCCCTCACCCTCCCCATCCCCCGCTCCCACCTCCTCCCCCTCCCCCTCCACCTCCTCCACCTCCCTTTTCCTTCCCCTCCCCCTCCATGCTCCCTGATGAGCCCTGCTGCCCCCCCCTCCACAGCTCCCCGCTCCCCCTCCCCCCCCCCCCCAGCGCTGGCGGTCCGTTCGCGCTGAGCACCAGGACCTCCGCCTGGGCCACGGAAGCCCCCCCCCAGAATGCGAAGGGCGCAAGGAGGAGGAGGAGGAAGAGGGAGAAAAGGAGGAGAAGCAGGAATAGGAGGAGAAGATGGAGAATGAAGAGGAGGAGGACGAGGAGGAGCAGGAGGAGGAGGAGATGAAGATGGAGACGGAGATGGAGGAGGAGGAGGAGATGGAGATGGAGATGGAGATGGAGATGCAGATGCAGATGGAGATGGAGATGGAAATGGAGATGCGGATGGAGATGGAGATGGAGATGGAGATGGAGGTGGAGATGGAGATGGAGATGGAGATGGAGAGGGAGAGGGAGATGGAGATGGCGATGGAGATGGACATGGATACGGACATGGGCATGAAGATGGAGATGAAAATGGAGATGTAGATGTAGATGAAGATGGAGAGGGAGAGGGAGAGGGAGAGGGACAGGGAGAGGAAGAAGGAGGTGGAGATTGAGACGGAGATGGCAATGGAACCGGAGATGGAGATGGAGATGGAGATGGAGATGGAGACGGAGATGGAGATGGAGATGGAGATGGAGATGGAGATGGAGATGGAGATGGAGATGGAGATGGAGTTGGAGATGGAGATGGAGATGGAGACAGAGAGGGAGAGGGAGATGGAGAGGGAGATGGAGATAGACATGGACATGAAGATGAAGATGGAGATGGAAATGGAGATGCACATGGAGATGCTGGAGAGGAGATGGAGGTGGAGATGGATATGAGACAGAGAGGGAGATGGACATGGAGATGGAGATGGAAATGGAGGTGGAGATGGAGATGGAGATGGAGATGGAGGTGGAGGTGGAGATGGAGATGGGGATGGAGGAGGACAAGGAGGAGGAGGAGGAGGAGGAGGAGGAGAGCAGGGAGAGGGGAAGAGTGAGGAGGAGGAGGAGGAAGAGGAGTAAGAATAAGATGAGGAGGAGGAGAGAGGAGGAGGAGGAGGAGGAGGAGGAGGAGGAGGAGGAGGAGGAGGAGGAGGAGGGAGGGGTAGGGAGGGGGTAGGAGCGAGGAGGTCACGAGCGATAAGGGGCGCGTCCAAGTTGTCAAACACGCCGTGCTAAGAGAAAAGCATCACGTACTTCTTAATCGGATGATGACAGCACTCTAACCAAACGAGTTCCGATAGTTGATTAGCGCAGGTCTTGGACTCAAGGCATGAAAACAACCAGGATTGGTTCCGGAGAAATGGGGCGTTTGGAAATGGGGCCGCAAACCGCAGCTGCAATAGTTCGTGCGTGGAACTAGTGCGCGCAAGAATTGCGCGCAACTATTGCGAACTATTGCGCCCGCGGGCTAACTATTGCGTCATGTTGCAAGATCGGACGCAACTATTGCATCGCGGCAGGCCGACTATTGCAAACTATTGCTCGCAAAAACGCAAGAATCCAAACTATTGCATCACTGAGATAAACTATTGCGTCCGCGCGAGCAAATCTTTTGCACCCCGACTAATTGCACGAGGCACTGTACGATGTATGTGATCGTTTCCAACTATTGCATGCGCTGTTGCGCGCACGTTTCGCGGCCCCATTTCCAAAGACCCCATTAGCCCGATTATGACAGGAATAGTAAGTAGAGAAATCCGCTGTCCCTCCGGGGAGATACCCCATACGCGCGATAAGCGGACAACGAACACACATTGAAACACGTGCACTGCAAGCCGAGGCAAAGCATCGCATCGCGATGGGAAGAACTCAGTAGCGATCTGAGCGGTCGCAGCTGATACCAGGCAGATCGACCAGCAAACTGACAGCAAGACTCCGATGACGGGAGAGAGGAGGAAAGACGAGCAGAACGGCACACAGAGACAACAACTCGCGCATGCGCAGGCCCGACCGCGTGGATGCACGAGAGAAAGCCCTGTACAAAGAAGACAAAGGTCTCTGACCAGGCCCTTGCCGTCTGCAGAGCAGGCGCGCCGACACAACGGAGCCCGGAGGCTCCGATCTCGGCCCTCGCACGGCCGAGGGCGCGGAAGGCGCCACCCCTCGGCGAGGCGGCTTCGCCCCCCAGAGCCGTCCACCGCGCGTCACACCCCGCCGCCGAAGAACGACGGGCCAACATCGGCCCAGCCAAACCGCACGGGTTGGCCCGTAGACGAACGAGGCTGCAGCGCAGTGGCCCGAGCGAGCACGCGCGCAACGGAGAGCAAACGCTGTGCCTCCGAGGGGGAGGGGGGGGAGGAGGATCCTTACGCGTGAATGTAATACTCGACGAACGCGTCTTCCTCAGATATCTGGATCAGAACGGAGGGATCCTCGAACCAGTCCTTTGGATGGGACTCGGGCACAGGCCATTCCCCCTCTAACAGCCTGGCGGCCTCCAACGACGCGACTCTCGTGACCTCAGAAGTAGCAGATAAAATCCACAAATCCAAAGACTGCCCAAAGAGACGAGCCCTGAGCCATCTCTGTACCTGGCTCGGCTCGCGCTGCTGGAAGTTGCTCATGTCGCGGAAGTGTTTCAGGGCAATCTGAGCCCTGGTCGAGATAGCCACCTCCGTTCACCAAGCCTCGCACGAAACCGGAACGAATAGGTGTCCACCGGGGCGGGCCTGGCCGGAGGAAGGGTGTCGAGGCGGCACGGGCAGCTCATACTTCCGACAAAAAACGATCGCCAACACCCGACGGCCCATCCAACCTGGGCACTGCGCATACTGATGAGCCTCCTTCAGGGCCTACTTCTATAGATAAGCCTAGACTTAGGTGGGGCATGTCCCCCTACAGGGGGACTTTGAGAGAAAAATTAAAAATCCTACTCCGAAATAGTCGCAAAAAATAGCACACAAAAAATCGTCACAACACTATTTTCTGACTATTTTTGAATATTCCTCCTGCAGAGGGACAAGCCCGACTTACGCCTAGACGTCAGGGCCGCGCCTTCACGGGCTGCGATGTCTGCGAAAAAAATTAACCCGGGCACTCCCGACCACGTGCAGAAGAGGACGCCCGCGCCCAGGCCCGTAGGGGCGAGGGGGATCTGCGAGGAGGAGGCGAAAGTCGGTGCTGTACCTCCCTGCCAGAATTGTTCGTTCTGCTCCCCCTGTTCCCCTGCACCCCCCTGCCTGACACGAAGAACGGCACACCGCCGGAGTCCGACGAGGCAGGCTTTGGGTCCAGCCCTGGCTGCCGCTCTGGCTCCTCCGAGCCTCGCCCGAGACGGGACGAGGGGGCGAGCATAGAGGCCTCTTAGATGGGGTCGGAGTAGATGGGGTCGGAGGATCGCGCTGCATCGCCGATACATCGGCGATGTATCGGCGATGCCTCGGTGATGCACCGGCGATGCATTGTCGACGTCGGCGATGCATCGGCGACGTCGACGTAAAGCAAATCGGGCCCCACATCGCGCCGCATCGGCGATGCGGCAAGACCATGATTATATTGGAAAATATCGCCCGACGGCCGACGGTTCCTCCACGTTTTTTGATAGTGATATTGCAGCTACAGACCTGAGGATTTGACAGGCGAACGCGGCACAACCCACTCCACGTTACAAAAATAGTGGTTCCCGAAACGCATTTTCAAATCTCTCACAATCTTCGAAAAACCGACCCCATCTACTCCGACCCCACCTGGAAGGCCTAGAGAGGAGGGAGGCGGAGGAGGCGCCGAGAGGCCGCAGGCAGTCGGCCTTCTGCCGCGGCTGGCCCCCTGCGGCGGGCCAGGCACGGGTGCGGGGCCAGGGCGTGCTCCGCACGCGGCCCTGCACGCCGGGGGCGCGTCCTGGCTCGCAGCAGCAGGACACTCTGGAAGGGGCCCTGGGACACACAAGTAAATACACACACACAAATAAAATGATTCCCCATGTTTTCCCATATCTTCCTGGCTTTTGTCTTCGCCCCCACCTCCCAGATTTTCCCATACTTTCCTGGGAATCGGCGATTGATTGTGTCCGTGTGCTTTTTCCCCTCCTGGACTCTGCGGCGCCGGCGAGGGAGAACCCACGGCCCCGGCGCGAGGGGGGGGCAGAGACTGAGCCGTGGAACAGGAGCGAAGAACTGGCCGTCGTGCTTCCTGGCGCCAGGGGACGGGGGGAAAAAAGGTAAGGGGGGGAGCAGCTCGGGAAGACATCGACCTGGAATCGGCGCTACATCGCCGATAGATCGGCGATACGCCCCCGATAGCGAAACCGCACGTTCCTGGGCGGGGTGGGCCATCAGGCCCCTATCGACGATGGATGGGCGATTGAGGGTCGATGCATCCCCCCCCCTTAGCGCATCCCCTCCTAACGATTCCCTGATCTTTCCTCAGAGATCGGCCCCAGGACCTCTCTCGTGACGCGCTCTGGCCAAAAAGTCGTTAGGAGGCAGCTTATGGGAGATCTTCGCCAGAACGATTGAGGGCCAGGCAATGAAGCCGAATGACTAAACCACTAAATCAGATTCAATGGATTGAGCCCGGGAGACCAAACTGAGCCGGATCAGGCGGGACTAAGCGGGATCAGGACGGCTTTCGACCAAGGACATCCCAGCGCCGATGCTGTGTTAAATGCGCAGAGGGCGTTCATACACCACCACAGTACCTGGCCAGGTGCATCCTGGGCCATGGCATGGCGTACACGCCATCCTGACCGAGATGAGGTCTCTGAAACATCCTGGCGCCCAGGATGGCCCTGGCTGGGCACGGTGGTGGTGTATGGATATGCCTTCCAGGCGCGGCGTTGAGGAGGGGGGCGATGGGGAGAAGGAGGAGGAGGAGGAGGAAGAGGAGGAGGAGGAGGAGGAAGAGGAGGAGGACGAGGGGGAGGATCATGAGCAGGAGGAGGAGAAAGAGGATCAGGAGGAGGAGGAGCAGGAGGAGGAGAAATCATAATCAGGAGGAGGGCAGGGGGAAGAGGAGGAGGACGAGGAGGAGCGAGAGGACGGGGAGGGGCAGCAGGAGAAGTACCTCCGGGGCGCTGCGCCTCCCAAAAGCCTCGGCGCGGCAAAGGGAGGGGGCGAGCCAAGCCCACGGGCCTGCTGCCACAGGCACGGCGCATCACAGACTGGGCCTAGGTCGGGCAGGTCCCCCTGCAGGCGGATTCTGGACGAAAAATCAAAATGGCAACAAAACATAGAAACATCATGCCCATAAATGTTTGACTATGTTTTCATATTCTGCCTGTAAAGGGACATGCCCGACTTACAGCTGGGGCCCGACCACCAGAAACTCTCCACGAGAAACCCAGCAACCTAAGACACCGGGACGTCCATTGATTTTTGGTGTGGGAGCGTCACGCCTTCCATAGCAAAACCATCGAAGCCCAAGAAACCCAGGGCACCCTGGAGGCAAGCAGGGTATTTCTTGACATGGGTTTCCACTGTAGCCCTCGCTCCTCGAGCCTCGTGCCCCCCGCGGGGCGTCCTCCGCCCCCGGTCGCCCTCCAGAGGAGGAGGAGGAGGAGGAGGAGGAGGAGGAGGAGGAGAACGAGGAGGAGGAGGAAGAGGAGGAGGAGAACGAGGAGGAGGAGAACGAGGAGGAGGAGGAGGAGGAGGAGGAGGAGGAGGCAGGCCGCGCCTCCTCCGCGTCGTCCGCGGCCTTCTCCGCCTGCGTCGCCGCCTGCTCCGCCTGGGTCGGCGCACGCGCTGCGGAGAGGGCCGCGCAGCCACGCCCACGCCGCCGCCGCCGCCGCCGCCGACGACGACGACGACGACGACGACGACGACGACGGCGACGACGGCGACGACGACGGCGACGACGACGACGGCGACGACGGCGACAACGACGACGGCGACGACGACGACGACGCCGCCGTTCGGCGGCCAGCCGGGGGGGAGGCGAGGAGGCCACTGGCGCAGGGTCTGCCCTCCCGAGGGAGCGCGGGCGCGACGTCGCCGGCCAGAGGCGGCCCGATGCGGGCCGTCGAGGGCGGCGAGCTGCGCGCGAGGGCGACGATCTGCGGGCCGCGGCGCCTGCGGCAGTGGCGCGGGCTGGCGGCGCGCCCCCGGGGGGGGGGGAAGCGAGCAGGGGCGGGCCCTCTCGGAGGACTCGGAGGAGGTCCCCGGGCCGTCCCCGGGGAGGCCCAGGGAGACTCCCGGGAGGCCGGAGGCCTTCCGAGAGGGCCTTCTCCTGCTCGCTCCCCCCGCCTCGCTCGCCGCCGCCGCCGTCGCCGAAGGACTCGGAAGGATCGGTCGGTCTCTCGGCCCCATCCCGAGGAGCAGAGCAGCCACGGAAGTCTTGCTTACACCGCTCGGCGCGCAGCGACAAGAGGGTCAGGTCCGCCGACCCTGTCAGCGTGTGGAAGACGCTATTCCGTTCGTCGTCGTCGTCGTCGTCGTCGTCGCCGCCGCCGTCGCCTCCTCCTCAAGCGCGCCAGCCAGAGCGAAATTGAGCAGCGTCGCAGCTGAGTCCCTGTGAACCCTTCCCGCGGGAGGGGGGGCGGTCGGGAGAGGTCCCGGAAGTCGGGGAGGGGTCCGGGGAGGGGGGTCCCGGAGGGGGTCCTGGGTCAGAATGCCATCCCCCCAGGAGGTCCCAGGGCCCAACAAACACCACGACGGGCCAAGACTGCTCCTAGAGGCCTCCAAGACGGTCCAAGAGGACCCCGAATCGAAGAATTATCGTCCCAGTCCAAAGATGGCCTCCAGACGGTCCAAGACACCTCCATGACGCTCCAAGAGCTCTCCAAGAGCACTCCGACGAGGGCCACAGAGGTAAAAATCATAGATGTTCCTTCTGTGTTTGAAAAATTTGGGTGTTCTCGCCTTCTCGGCTTCCCGACGCTCCAAGACGGCCCAAGAGGCCTCCAAGATCGCCCCCAGATGGCCCAAGAAGTCTCCAAAAGGGTCCCGAAACAAGACAAAAGGGACCCCAGGCAGTCCAAGAGGCCTCCAAGATGGCCCAAGAGGCCCCCAAGACGGCTCCCAGAGCGTGCCTAGCCAGGGAACCCGAAAGGAGCTTTGGAACCTTCGGCCACAAACCTCCCAGGAGGCCCCGAGAGGTCCCCCAAGGGGCCCCTAGAGGCCCCCAAGAAGCCTCCATTAAGGCCCAAAAGGCCCTCGGGAGGCTCCCAAGAAACCCCCAACAAGCCCTGGAAGACCCAAGGGGCTCCCCCCCTCCTCGTCCACCTGTTCCGTCTCCCTATCCTCCTCGCATAAGGACAGGGTCGGCCACACCGGCCGCAAGGCATTCACACTAGCACCAAGATGCAAGCGCGAGGGCACCGAGATCGGAACTGTAGCGCCAGTTGTAATCGAAAAGCTGGTTCTACACTGCAAACTGCACTGTCGTCGTCGTCGTCGTCGTCGGCGTCGGCGTCGGCGTCGGCGTCGGCGTCGGCGTTGGCGTCGGCGTCGGCGTCGGCGTCGGCGTCGGCGTCGGCGTCGGCGTTGGCGTCGGCGTCGGCGTCGGCGTCGGCGTTGGCGTTGGCGTCGGCGTCGGCGTCGGCGTCGGCGGCGTCGGTGTCGTCGTCGTCAGTGGCGTCGCCGTAGGCGTCGACGTCGGCGTCGGCGTCGGCGTCGGCATCGGCGTCAGCGTCGGCGTCGGCGTTGTCGACGTCGGCGTCGGCGTCGGCGTCGGCGTTGTCGTCGGCGTCGTCGGCGTCGTCCTGCTCAACCCCTCCCCTCCTCCTCCTCCCTCCTCCCTCTCCTGCTCCTCCTCCTCCTCCTCTCCTCCTCCTCCTCCTCCTCCTCCTCCTCCTCCTCCTCCTCCTCCTCCTCCTCCTCCTCATTCTTCTCGTCCCTCATCCTCCTCGTCCTCCTCCCTCCTCTCCTCCCCTCCTCCTCCTCTTCCTCCTCCTCCTCCTCATCCTCCTCATCCTCCTCCTGCTCCTCCTCCTCCTCCTCCTCCTCCTCCTCCTCCTCCTCCTCCTCCTGATCGTCGTCGTCCTCCTCCTCCTCCTCTTCCTCCTGCTCCTCCTCCTCCTTCTCCTCCTCCTCCACGTCCTCCTCGTCCTCCTGCTTCTCCTCCTCCTCCTCCTCCTCCGCCTCCTTCTCCTCCTCCTCCCCTGTTTTTTTTTTCTGAGTAGTAGTATCGTTTTGTTTGCGCTCGTGTTAGTCGTTATATTGTGATCATGTGCCTTGTGAGCAGTATGGTCCGTCTTCTTAGTAGTGCTAATAGTCGTAGTGCTAAAATGATGATTAGTAGCGGCATTTGTATTACAACAGTAGACTACTTAGTAGAATTCGTGAAATGTGAAAAATAGCCGTATGGGTGTCTTCAGCTTATAAGCGGGATTGCGAGTTCGATGATGAATGTCAATAGTGGTATTGGTATGGCGAGGGATACGAATACGACTAGTTTTAGTAGGATTCGTATTAGTAGTCGTACTACTACGATAGATTGCATTTGGCATTATATTTAAATGGGTAAACATATTAATGGACCTCACACTAGTGTTCGAAGTATTACTGTTACTACTACTCGTAGTATTGTTTGGACCGTTAGTGTTGGCACTGGTGCTAGCAGTAGCTCGTAAAAAAACAATACTCGTATCTTCCTTCTGTTTATTATGAGTAATGGCATTTTTATTATCATATGTAGTACTGTTGTCTTTCTGAATAATAAGATTGCCACCCGTAAAACTAGTACCATTACATGTATGACAAAGATTAGCAAAATCACTGGGATTCTTACGAGCATTAAGATTAAAGCCAGTATTACTCTGATTCGTATTACTCGTTGTATTAATAGCCTTCGTGTATTATTCGTCTTCTTCGCATTCATAATAGTATTCGCGTGAGTATGTTCCTTAGTAGTAGCCTTCTTGGTATGATCATTACAAGTATCGGCGGTACTGTGCTCAGTGTTGTTCGTAGTATGTTTCAGTATGATTGTGATTACTCTTCTGATTCGTGATATCAGTACTATGCTTAGTAATAGTGTGATCAATAGTGTTAAGAATATTGTTCTTAGTCGGCCTCTTAGTCTTCCTCCTACTCCTCGTCCTCGTCCTCGTCCTCGTCCTCCACCTCCTCCTCATCATCGTCCTCCTCTTCCTCCTCCTCGTCCTCATACTCCACCTCATCCTCCTCCTATTCTTCCTCCTCCTCCTCCTGCTCGTCCTCTCCTCTTCCTCCTCATCTTTATCCTCCTCCTCACCGTCCTCTTCCTCCTCCTCCTCCTCATCATCATCATCCTCATCCTCCTCCTCCCCCTCCTTGCTCCACCTCCGAAGAAACCGCACGACTCATGCCTGAGATCAGTTTGTGAGCGTTTTCTTGTTCGGCATTTCGACATTGGGCGGAAGGGGGGAGAGGGGGGGGGGTCTGGCTCCGGACCTCTGCCCGATGCCTCTGTTTGCAGCAGTTCGTCCTCTGGGGGAGGCTCCACCCGATCGAAACAGGCGCCAAAAACAGCCAGTACGCAGAAGGCAGCTATACACCACCACCGTGCCAGGCCAGGGCCATCCTGGCCCTGGCATGGTGTATACGCCCTCCTGGCCGAGGCCAGGAGGGTCTGTACACCATCCTGGGGCCGAGGACGGCCCTGGCCTGGCACGATGGTGGTGTATAGATGCCCTCGTCGGAGCCAAGATCGGGCCCGCGCCGATCGGGCAAACAACGAATAAGAAAACGATCACCACGGCGCATGCCCGAGGGCAGCTCCGTCGAGGGCGGCAGGACCGTGCCCCCCCGCCCTCCCAGGGGCCTTCTCCGCAGCGGCCTTGGCGGCCTCCACGTGGCTCTCCGCCCCCTTCTCCTGGGCAGCGGGGGGGGGGTCTGCGGCGAGCGCGGGGGCGGGCCTTCTCAGAGGGCGCGGAAGTCCCCCCGGCCTTCCGAGAAGGCTTCTGAGCCCTCCCCGTGGGCACCACGACTCGGTCGGGCATGTCCTCCTACACGCGGCTCTTGAACGACAAGCGAAAAATTGTCAAAAAAAACAGCATCAAAAATGGGCAAAAAAAAAACATCGTCCCCATACCATCTGTGGACCGACTTTCAATATTCGTCCTGTATAGTATAGAGGGACATGCCCGACTCAACACCGAGAGCCTCTCGGAAGGCGCGAGGGCTTCTGGGACGTCCCGCCGCCTTCCGAGAAGGCCGTCTCTTCGCTTCCCCCCCCCCCTCGCTGGCCGCCGAGGGGGGCCCCGCGAGGCCCCGCGCCCGCTGGGCAGGGCAGCCCTCCCGGGCGGGACCCGCCGGGGCCGCAGCGCCCCTCCCCCACAGAGGGGGGGAGGAGGCGGAGAGGGACGAGGAGCAGCAGCAGCAGGGAGCAGCAGGAGCAGCAGGGGCAGGAGGAACGGGAGCAGGAGGAGGAGGAGGAGGAGCAGGAGGAGGAGGAGGAGGAGGAGGAGGAGGAAAAGGAGGAGGAGGAGGAGGGAGGATGGAGGAGGAGGAGGAGGGAGGATGGAGGATGGAGGATGGAGCAGGAGGAGAAGGATGGAGGGAGGATGGAAGGAGGAGGCAGGAGGGAGGCAGGAGGGAGGGAGCACGAAGGAGGAGGAGCAGAAGGAGGCAGGAGGGAGGAGGGAGGGAGGAGGAGGAGGAAGAAGAGGAGGAGGAGGGAGCGAGGGAGGGAGGGAGGAGGACGGAAGAGAATGGAAGAGGATGGAAGAAGATGGATCGGAGGCGGGTGAGGTCTTATCACGAGCGGGCAACGTGGCCATACCGCCGCCCTCGCGGTCTGGACTCCGGGGCGCGACCCCAGGGGTGCACGGTCGCACAGGTACGCCACGCGCGGAGCATCCGCGACAAGAAAGGCTCAGGTACCCAGCCCGCGAGGCCGTAAATGTGATCACGTTTCCCGCCAGGAAGGAGGCAGGAAGGAGGCAAGTCGAATGCCCATGCTCTTCCCCAGTCTCGGTCTCCGGAGGCCCGTTTCGAGCCCCGCGGTCGTCAAAAAACTGTCTGGGATGAAGGGGCACTGCCTGGGAAGAGGTCGAAAAGTCTGGGGCCCACGCGATATAATAAGAAGAAAGTGGTCGGAAATCTGAAGAGGAGGACGCCAGTAATCCACCAGCACCGATCCCGACCAGGCCCATCCGGAGCCAGACATCGGTGTATGTGTCATCCTGGCTTGACCAGGAGGGCGTACACGGATGTCTTAGAGGAGAAGCAGCAGCAGGAGAAAATAGAGGCGGTGGAGGCAGAGCCTCCTCCTCCCATCCCACCTCCCCTCGCCTCCACCCCTATCCTCATCCTTTCCCGTCTCCTTCCCCTCCCACTTCCTCTGCCACTGCCCATCCCGCCTCCCCGTCCATTCCCTTCCTGCACAAACCCACTCAACGACCCTCCATTCCCCATGCGTCCTCCCTTCCCCTGAAGGAGAACGAGAGGATAGGTCCAGATCAGGAGGAGATGCATCGAGCTTGAATTTGCGATACATCGCCGATAGATCGGCGATAGGCCCGCGATAGAAAAACAACAGGTCTCCAGACGGGGTGGGCTATGAGGCCCTTATCGACGATGAATGGGCGAATGCGGGTCGATGCATCCCTCTTGAGCTTATGCCCCACTAACGTTGCACCAGACTCCCTCCTCCCCCCAAAAATTCTCTACCCCTGCCCTCCTCTAACCGTGCTCCCTACCCAACCCCTCCATCATCCCGTCCCCACGCCCTTTCCCTGCCCCTCCTGCCTCTCCCCTGTACTCCCCTCGCGCGCTAACCCAAGTCAGCACTAACCCTGGCCGCGAAACAGCCCACACCCGGGTCAGCGGAGGGAGTGCAAGGGGTATTGGCCCCCACGTGGCTCCCAAACCCGGGCCAGCCAGAGGGACTGGCTAAACCCCGGTGATGCTCGCTCCCGTTACGTGAGCCACGACCGCCCCTCTCATCTCCTCCCGGGCCCCCCCCCCGATCGCGCTGCATCGTCGATTCATCGCCGATGCATCGAAGACGTCGGCGATGCATCGGCGGCGTCGGCGTGGAGAACATTGGGCCCAACACCGCGCCGCATCGCCAGTACATCGCGAAGCGGCGCGATCCCCCTTCTTCCCCTCGCCTCCACTCCGGATCCAGGAGGGTCCCCGCGGTTCGACGTGGTCCTACCATACTTAAAACTCTCTTTTTTGACCGGAACGCCGCATGCCATGCGATCCGATCTACAACCACCACTGGGATCAACTACCACCACCGCCCCAACTGCTACTACTACGAGGACTACTACTACGACTACTACTACTACTACTACTACTACTACTACTACTACTACTACTACTACTACTACTACTACTACTACTAATACTACTACTACTTACTACTACTTACTACTACTACTACATACACTACTACTAATAAAAATTAATCCAATTACACATTAATTACTACTACTTACTAATACTTACGACTACTTACTAACTACTACTAAATACTACTACACTAATACTAATACTACTACTTACTATACTTGCTTACCTATACTACTACTACTACTACTTACTACTACTACTACTACGACGACGACGACGACAACTACTACTACTACTACTACTACTGCTACTACTACTACTACTATTACTACTACTACCAGTGCTACTACTACTACTACTACTACTACTACTACTACTACTACTACTACTACTACTACTACTACTACGACGACTACTACTACTACTACTACTACTACTACGACTACCGCGACGACTACTACTACTACTACTACTACTACTACTACTACTACTACTAC